CCCCCCCCCCCAAGTCGAGCACTGCGAATCAGGTATTTTAGTAATTAATATAACACCAAGTTAAAGTAAATTTTTTTGGTTCCCGCACAGCCTATATAGGACCTGAGTTTAGGAAGGACAGAAGGTTATGTAGAATAATATAAATTTATAATCTCTCTGATAATCACAATGAAATTATAAGATACGTGTTTTGACCATTGGCTTTTGAAAAAAAATAAGTGGTAGTTTGCCCCTCCTCTCCCCTATTCATTCAAGCACTGTCTCTAAGGAATATTATTTACATRTATAATAAAGAAGTAAAACGGCTAAGAAATGAAATCGTAATATTCGCAATACGACGACAGTTATTATTATTATTATCATTATCATTGATAATACAACGTTTGTCGATCGCGACGAATAACGATGTCGACGTCCGTGGTGCGTGAGCGGCAATGGCAGTAGTCGGTCACCTGACCCGACCGGACGGAGATCGCAAATGCGACCTGATGTACCCGGTCCGGTAGTCAATTTCCACTTTTGGTGGGTTGGGTGGCAGTCCCCGGTTCTTCCGGCTCCACCTGTGGGTACAACAACAGACAGAACGTACATATATACGTTACACATCCGGCGGCGCAATCGAAAGGGTTCTAATTACATTTTCAATCGATCTTTTGCACTCGCACCAGTGATCTAAACAATCTTTGGTATATATTTTATTTTTTTACATTTATTTTTACATCACCAAAAACCACATGCAATTACCGTTCTAAATCGCCATGCAAAGTGTATATAATATAATATATATATATAACGCCCACACGGGGTACAAAAAGAAGAGGTTGCGCGTAACAGGATAGAAGCGATCTCGTGATTATATATTATTATCATTATTAATAATATCATCATTACACATMTATTCTATAATATGTATTATTTGTACTATATAATATATTTKACTACATTAATCATTAATGTTATTGTATTATAATATAAAAATATACAAATTATTGTTGTCGTTATATTAATATTAATGTATCACACACGCACAAGCATACCAACACGAAACACGCGCCGACCTTCTGCAGTGTAATTTAGGCGTATAATCAAATAAAGGTCGGCCGATTAAATAAATAAACATATAATAATATACGGAWTATCGTCTATTTTTTACGCTGTTAGCCAACCGCTTCTTTTCTTTTTTTTTAACCCTACTACTGCAGCATCTATCACAAGGCCTTCCCCGCAAGCTACAATTCATCTTATTAATAGATTATTATTATTAATATTATATTATTATATATTATATTATGTATATATTGGTCCACTCTTTCAACAATTTCCACAAAAAAATTCATGCTTTTTTTTTTGGTTCACGCTACACTCACCTAGCGCTATGACTCAGTAGTATTATATTCCTGAAAATAATTGTTAAAAACATAATAGGTGAGTGTTTCGTCCGATTTGTTTGCCAGCGCTGTAGTAAGTAATGCCTAAATCGCTCGCATTGAATCTTATATTTATGTGCAATTTACCTGAGCAATCGAAAAATGTATTCTGGCCAGTTGTTAGGAAACATGACCAATAAGAAACCGATCGATATAAGTATGATGCCAGCCAGTTTCATACCGTAAAACTGTACATCGTGTATGGTTATGTCAATGGCTGAAACAGTAAAATAGGCCAAGTAAAAATGGCCATGTGAACAAAAAAAAAGTCGTTGTTTACATTTTTTTTTACTAAAAATAATTTTGATAAACTTATAATGTATAATAAAAATATATATACGTATGAATATACATATTATATATATATTTTATTATAAGTAAATCTCGTCAATTACATTATATTGTAGGTACTTCGTGCGTATATTAAAATGTATTTTTAATACAGAATTTAATATGCTTTATAAGCACGAAACATGTCAAACTT